CTTATCGTCACTTCAGTCATGTTATCGTTTGTTGAATCGATTATCGACATCATGAAACATCGTTGGTTGAAACGTCGTTAGTTGAATATTGCTTTTTGATTTGCTGTTTGTATTGATCATTCCATTTCTCTTTCAAAATTTTATATATATATTTTTTTAGTCTTTATTTCATTATAAAATTATCGAATTTTTTGGGCAACATTATATTCCTGCTAGGTCTTTGACTAACAAGACACTGTTCTTGCATTTCTACATTTTGATCATCATTTCTTCTAAAATTTACAGTGTTCATCCAGAGGTGCGCTACTCGTAGACCTTTTTTAATTTGGTCTAAATGTCTTCTAATAATTTTGTCTCCTGTTTCAACTTCAAATGTTAAATTTCCATTTTTACGTTTTATCGTGCCTTTGTCCCACATATTACCTTTGAAGGTTTTATACCATATTTTGTCACCATTCATGATGTTTCTATTTGACGATAAATTGCTATTAAATTCGTTCACTTTATCTTCTTGCGGTTCATTCATAAGAATCATAATAGAATATTTGGAATTGTTTCATTTTATATAATAATAATTTTTTTATTTATTATTTATTATTTAATTATTTTTATTTTTAAATTTTACTCCTTTATTTTTCAATTTAAACATTTTTTTAATATCATAATTTCTCTTTAACTTGTTCTTTATAACAAAATTTCTCTTTCTCCTTCCATTTTCAACATATGATCTCCATATCGTACTCCTAATCTCTCTTTCATCGCGACATTTAATCACCCTTGTTTTAATTTTCTTTTCCAAAGTTTTTTTAAATTTTTTATTAATTATAAAAAATTTTATTTTATTATTTTCTTCAATTTTTATTTCATTATTGTTTTTAATAACTATTATTTCTCCAATTGTTATCAAATGATTTATTTCTTCTAATTTATAAGAATTAATTTCTTTTGTAACATTTGTTATTAAGTTACATAATTCAATTTTATTCAAATTTTTTTTATTATGATATTTATAATTATAATTTTCATACTTTTTATTGTAATATGTACCTTCATAATTTTACTATCTACTTTTCTATTTTCCTCGATTATATTTACAAAATTACATTGCTCGATTAATTCTTGTATGGTATTATCATAATCATCCTCGACAATATTCACAAATTTATCTAGTATATTCCCAAAAACTGTTATCCAAGTCCTTCCTAACAGTGCAATCTTATCACTCTGGACTACATAAGCAGTTAAGATTTGACTTTTGTCCTCGAATTTTGCCTTGACTTTGGTAGTTCCTAATACATTTATTGTGTTTTCATCATATCCAGTTAATTTAATATCTGATTTATTTAAGATTTTTACTCCAATCTTTTTCGCGATATGAATCGGTAGAATACTATACCTTGATCCGGTATCAATCTGCATCAAAATAGGCATGTCGTTCAAATATACCGTGACCTTATAAGCATCGTTAGCTGTGTAATTATTATCGGTATCCATATTGTTTATGTCTAAATTGTATAAATTATATTCTTTTCTTTCTAGTTTGTCATTATCATCTTCTTTTATCTCTTCTATATTTACAGTGTTTACTTTATTTGTATATCGTGATTGATTATTGTCGTTGTTATGATATTTACAATTGCATACTTGATTTGTTCTTCGATTTCCAATATTATGATTATCATTATATCTTTGAACGCATCTTGAATAGTTATAATGTCTGTTATATCTGTAATTATAATCATTATTAAATCTATTATTATTATAGTCATTTTTATTATAACTAGCTCTATTATCAAATCTCGAAGAATTATTATACGATCCTGGATAGTTTGCTCTGACGTTGTTGTAATAATTCGAGTTAAAATTCTGATATCTAGGGTTGTAATTATTTCCTTGGTATCTGGGGTTATAATTATTTCCTTGATAAATATTTCTTTGAAAGTCATGGCCTCTTGCTGTCCATCGTTGTCTGTTATCGTAATTAAATTGTAAATTTTGTCGTTCATCATGGTCTCCATATCTCACCAATTGTTTATTTTCTTCTGTTTTCCTGCCTCTTTGCCTTTCTACATGTTTCACGGTTGTATCATCTTCTGTTTTTTCGTTTAAAGAAATATTTTCAACTTTAGCAATTATATTTTCTTTCAATTCTAACTCTTCAAAATCATCTCTTAAAGTAAGAACTTCTTCATGTAATGTTTTCTTTTAACGTACTGCCTAATATTTTTGCTGATTGACGAAATTTTTACTTTTTCAATAACTCTACTATCACTTAGCAAACATTCATTTTTTAAAATGCATAATCTACTTACCCAATCGATGTAACTTTCGTTTTTACCTTGTACAGCTGCATTAAATAATAATAAGTTGGAACTTGTAGATTTCCTCGGGTGTAATAACCTGAATTTTTCAATCAATATCGATGGATTGATGAAGTCGGTAGGTGAACATATCGATTTAAGCTTGATGTATACCTCATCTGGTAATCTTCTTGTAAAGGAACCTGCTTTTACGATGTCCGATATCTGAGTGTCCTTGAAGATGTCTTCAAATCTACTCAAAAAAAGATCGCCATTGCCTGCGTATATTGGAAATTCAATATTTATATTAACATTATTATTGGGAATCTGTTTCATATTTATTTATTTATTTACGATTTCCTCGAATATGTAGCGGAGCTGCCACCATGAAGTATCTTTGAATATTATGGTCGACATGATGTCTACAATTACATGCGTAACTTCCTCCTCGATTTCCATTATAATTATTACTATGCCTGAAGTATCTTTGAATATTTGATGTAATCCATAAAGTATTTTAGAAGATTAGTTTATATAAAAAATCGTTTATTTAAATAAATTATTTAATTTTACACAATATCTCTATTTAAATTTTACATTCTCTTTTAAACTAAAAAAAATCTGCTTTATATAACAAAATATATAAAAATTTATATAAAAAAAATCAATCTATCAATTTATAAAAAAAATCAATTTATAACAACATAAAAAAAACAATATAAGGTTAGTATTAATCGGTCATATTAACACTAATGATAAAAAAAAGCTTTCATATTATTAAAGGAAGTCCAAAATGTAGTACCAGAGCTCAAACTATACCACCAGGATTTAATATCTAATACAGAAAGTGATGATTACTTTTATTTTGGTGAAACAAATGTTGCTGAGTTCAATACAAATAAGATTGAGCTGGAGGTTTTAAATTATTTTAAAGACAGTCGAAATACATTAGAAATGCTTAATTATTATTCTTGCATCAAGGAAATTTTTTTTTAAATATAATACTGCAATATTTTAATCAGTTCCAGTTGAAAAGTTATTTAGTTTTGGCACAAGGTTAAATGCGCCGAAACGGTAAAGGCGTAATGCTAAATTATTTAAAAAAATTGGATTTAATTTAATCTATTTTAAATACTCTTTTGCAAATTAATATTTAAACTCACCTAAAAATACTCTTTCTTGACTATGCTATGAATGGACTAAAACTAATAATAAATCGCCTGATTATTATCATTAACTCGTCATTAAATATTCTAATTATTGTAAATATTCATTCTTATCATATGCTTGTTATGTTCTTCATCAATGTATTTTATATACTATTCTAAATTGGTAATGATAATTTTATAAAAGTATCTAAGATACTTTCATTTGGCAAAAGATGCAAGTATCTTTGTGATATTTTGAATAAGATACTAGTATCTGTATCTAAGATCCATTTTTTATAAGGAATCTGTATCTAGATTCTTTTTCCGGAGGACCTACCTAACTCTGGATGCTATCTATTTCAAGCATTACATATATAATTTTTAATTGAATTCTCTTTGCTTTTGGGGAAACTGGTAGAATCAAGATTTTCATCCTCGTTGATATTATAATCTTCCATACAAATAAAATTATCATGTTTTTGATATGCTTTTTACCTTAATTTCTTGCGGACAACATCCTCAGGTATCGGTACTTTGATATTAAAAATAGTGAAATTTCAGAGAGCATTTTTTTAAATGTTTACAAATCATTTTATATATAAAAGTTGTAAATTTTTTGACCCGCCCGCTCACAGTCTAAATATTTTCCCGCCCACCAGTTTTTATAAAAATTTTAACCAGCTCGCCAACTTAGATGAGCGGGCGGAGCTAAATACCCGCCCAATGCAGACCTCTATTTCACATAACATGATCAAGGATAAATCTGATATTGTAACACCCCTTCGCTTTTTATATCCAACTATTAGACCTTCACCAATGATATATAACATTGACCTTGGTTTAATTTAATAACCATCTAGAATTAGCAATCATCAAGTTTATAAAAAATGTTACTAAAGGTATAACTTTAGCCTTTAATGATAAGGTGTTCAACTAAAATGGGATCTCCACTGTATATATTGTCGATTTTTTTATTTTGTGGCGATTAATACTTTGAAGTGTTATATACAATTATATGAGAATCCTTTATATTGGTGTATCAAGGTTTTTAAAAAAAATTAAGATAAAAAACGGATAAGAAAAATACATAAAGTAAATATATTTTTGATCAGCGCGGATAGATGTAAATGACAGACTATACCATTGAATCCTCACTAGTATAATTATTAAATTAGTTGTTCTAGGTCTTTTTGTGTCATTTTTCAATTATTTTTTTAAAAAATAGCCGAAACTAAAAATCAAAATTTGATGCAGCTTTGAATTACACTGCGTAAATGCCGGCAATGCTAGTCCTATCTCTCATTCATAATTAGCGCGAATATGCGACGAAATATTTAAAATATGGTGTATTTTGTGTATTTTTAAATACTTCGCCGCTAATTGGCCCTAACTGTAAATGCAGGTATGAATAGACTTTTTATAACAAATTAAATTCATAGAAAAAATCAACAAAAGAAAAATATACATGTATTTATTTTTTCATTTGTTCATAATTTTTTTTTTCTATTTAAATAATATAAATTTATGTTACATAATATTATATGTATTGAAATATTTTAAACAATGGGAAGAAATTTTAAAAATAAAGAGCATATGAGGGGGGGGGGGGGGTGATAATATATAAAAAACAATAAAATAATGCCATTTCACCGCATACATTCATTAAAATTGCGCGCTTGACTCAATTATAATTTTAAAAAATATATGCCTAATTAATATATTATCTTTTGATAGAAAATTTATTTGCAAAAGTTTAATTTTTTTTTCAAAAAAAAAAACCAAAGAAAACATTAAATCAAAAATATTAGATTTATAAATTCAAAAAAAAACATATTTATCATCGCCATCTAATACTTTGTATTTGTATAGTTTAAAAAAAATATATATATAAAATAAATCTAAACAATTAACATTGCTAATCAATTAGTTAAATTAATTCCTATAAATAGGAATGGGAAGGTGGGAGGAGTTGGTAAACTTTTGATTCCGAGATTCATAATTTAAGTGGAAGAGAAATATAGAATCAAGAAAGGAATTACAAGATAAAGAGGTATTATAATATATATAAAAAGATAAAAGTAGAGGAGGATGATCTTACATATCAAGACTCTCTAGCAACGTTATCAACTCACTCATAAGAGATAAATAATAATATAATTGTTTATAAATTTTGATTTTTTCCTCATTATTTCAAAAATTTTCATATGGGACATTGGTCATTTCTTGTTGGTCAGCTTTGCCCCGGCCAGTGAGTTTGGGTGGTAAGGGAATTTTAGCGATAGATGGTAACTTCATTCTGTATATATAAAAATATAGTTTTTAAAAAAATAAAATTTTTTCTCCTAATTATTCATTTTTAATTTTATACATAAATTTATCATTTCCCTATGTAATAAAAATATTTTAAATACGAGACAAAGAAAATTTTTTTACCCTCTACGTTGATAAAAGATGAAAGCACCGATAGAAATGGCAATTAAAATGAATAGCACCAAAAATACGACCAAGGCTACACCACTTGATACATTACCATCTAAATAGTAATTTGTGCAAAAATGATTATATAAAATTATTTCTAATTTTTCTTTTTCACATCCTCATACTTACATTTTCCCTAAACGACTAGCTAATTATATAAGCTTCTAGTATTTTCTTTTTCCCGGATAATTTGTTTTTTGTCTGAATATAATAGTGGCTTCTTATGCTTCTAATTTACAGAAATTTAACCTGTTATCTATTTCAGAAAGTTAAAAAGATTTCATTATCTGAAAAGAGAGAAATATATTTATTAGGGATTATAAAACGTGTTTGGACAAACTTTTAAGAGAGGAAGCATTAGTGATTAATTTCTGGCATTTGTAAGACCCTCTAACGTGAGTAGATGTTCCGGTCGGGCATTTGGAGCAGAATGTTTGCCCGGCCATTACTTGAAATTCGCCCACGGGGCAGGGCGTGCATTGATAGGTTAATTTGTTTAACATGGTACCAGCCGGACATGCGGCTTTAAAAAGAATCAATTTTTTTTTTTAATTTAAGAAATGCTTATAAATATGCATAGGTTGATTATGACCGCATCGGGTTATTTAATTACAAAATTTTTCTCAATGTTCAAAATTATGTTGTCATTCATTTTAAGGATGATCAGAAATTTAAAAAAAAACCCAGATTAAACTTTCTAACTTTATTTCTGCCTGACCGGTTCTAGTTTCAAACATCGATAAATCCACCCTCGTAGAATCCGGCTAAGTCCAAAGTTTAATTTGAGAATGAAGAGGTTGAAAAAAATTAAGAATAGGTGAAAAAGATGGGCGAAGAGAGGTTTCGAAAAAACTTTATACTTTTCATTTTCGATGATTTAAATTTTAAAATTGTATAAGTTAGTGTTAATGTGTTATTTTTTCAACTTTAAATCCTTTTTTTGAGAGCGTTTTTCAAAATATCTTATTTTACCGAAAATGTATTCCAGCATGTTTAGAATATAAATATCGTATGAGTTGTAGACAATTTTGTCATTAACCCATGAGTCATTTATAAACTTTTCTAACTTACTTAAACCTAGCTGACTTTCTAACGATTTTTTTTTAAAAATATTTTTCGTTCTTTTTAATTTTTAGCCTTCCCTAAAAATAAATTTCTACTTGTTTTTTACTTGTTACATTTTTATTGGCTTTTTCCTTTCTTTTTCTTTGTCTTACTTTCTTTTTTCTTCATCTAAAATGAACAACTTTGAACACAAAACAACTTTGAACACAAAACAACTTTGAACACAAAAATAATAATTATTTATTTTTTAAAAAAAAAATCATTAGAAAGTCAGCTAGGTCTAAGTAAGTTAGAAAAGTTATAAAAAATCTATGGAAAAACTAATATAAATTATATTAGGTTCAAAGGTTGGTGGCAAAATTGAATGAAATTCGTAGAGTAAGTATTTCAAACATGATGGAATAGATTTATGGTAAAATCAAATTTTTTAAAAAAACGCTCAAAAAATGATTTAAAGTTGGAAAAATCACATTTTAACATATATACATACATTGCTTTGGGGATAACTTCTTATTTGATATTTTTTTTTAAAAAAAGAAACAATTTTATGATAGATAATACTCGTGAAACGGGGGCTTATGATTTAACGTAGAGATTAAAAATAGTTTTTTTATGCTAATAAAATATGAATGAAATAACTTGATTGAAAGAGACGTAAAGAAATAAGATGTTAAAAGAGAGTTACAATGTTCATAAAAAAATGCGAATAACTTTTATGTTAAAAATATTTTATACGTGATTTACTTATGGGCAGTATTTAAAAGGAAAATAATTTTTTAAAGGTTATATTCATTTGCTATCAAAGCTTAGTTAAAATCATAAAGTAGATGTAAAAAAATTCTTAAACAGGATGAATTGGGAAAAGTATAAAATAAACTGGAATCAATTATATTCCTTGGATTTTACGATTCGACGTTGAAACAATGGATTTTAAAAAAAATATTTATATATATATATAAAATTATTCTAATCGAATAATGATTCTATTATTTCCGTAAGTTTAATGAAACGGTAACTAGTCCAATAGCGAAAAGAATTTTTTTTAAAAAAAAAAAAAATAGCCCCTTAGGTGTCATTTCCAGAAAAAAGCGTTTTCAAAGAGTAGGTATGTTTCCATCAAATTTTTTAATTATTAACAAGCAAAGAATAATATTTGGTAAAATTAGTTTTTTTAAAAAATCTTTTTATTTTTTTACGATTAAATGGCGTCTGGAAGAGATTGCGAAAAACCTTTTTTAAAATATTTATTATGTAAAAAAAATTAATTCGATATATAATGAGTTTGGAAAATAAATATATAAAAAAGTGAATGTCACGGTCCGGTCTTTGGTCCGGACTGGACTGATGGCTTCGGACCGGACCACGGTCCTTAAGAAAAAGATCGATCCAGACCGTGGTCCTAAATAAAAAACTTTTTTTTAACCTAAAATTTGTTTTATCATTTTATTAAATATAAGAGTATTATATAAACAATAAAATTTATCCAATGGTATTGAAGAGAGTGATTTTGTGCTTGTGGGGGGCATATTAAAATTAAGAGTAGATTGTGTTTTTGAGATATTTTCATTTTCATCATTAGAATTATATATTTTATGTTTTATCAGATGTCTGCTTAAGGTACCTAATTATTTTATTAAGAATAAGGTTAAGTTATTTTAACAATGAATTATTCAGACAGTTTCTTAAGAAAAAATAGAACTATATAAATAATAACCAAAATATTTTAATAATAATACTTCTTATTTTGATTAATTTATTGCTTAAAAAATTATAAACAATTATTTTGTTACTTGTTGCTGACGATACATTAAATTTGGTACTGCAGTGAACACATACTCTATGTTTTTTATTGTGACTATAAGTAAAATGTTTCTTGGACAAACTTATGGTTTTCATATTGTAAAATAAAAATTAACAAAATCTAAAATAACTCATCTAGAAAAATATCATAAAATAAAATATACAAAAAAATTATATTAATTGAATAGTAAAGAAACTTAAATAATAATAAAAGACCGGTCCGGACCGCGGTCTGGGCCATAAAAGAAAAAAGATCGGTCCGACAATCGGTCCGGTCTAAGACCGATAGGACCGGACCTTTGACCTTCACTATAAAAAATTAGCTGGAAACATGCCTAAAAATCGCTTTTAAAATCTGTCTGGAATTAGCTACTAAGAGATTGGAAAAAATCTTAATTTCGGTATTTTAAGGTAAAATTGAATCAAAAATCTATTTTTCAAAATACTTGTCGATGATTTTTGTTCAAATTTCTTATTCGAATTCTGAACACAATATAATAAATAGGACATCTAAAATTGAAAAAAAAACTGTATAATGTAGCTTTCACTGAAACCCAAAAAAGATTATAAAAATTTACGAAACAATTTTGTCATGGTGCAAAATAGAAAAATTTCAAGGAGATTAAATCCTTTTTGAAAGAAAAAAAATTGATGATAAAAAACTATATCGTGAAAGATTATTTTCCAAATTTTTATCAAAATTGATTTATTCGCATTTACCACAATCGTGGTTGTCGACGATTATATGGCCGGGCTGACACGTAATGCTTATGGCGGGCAAACTCGAGCCCATGGGATCTACAGAGAATGGCGCGGAACCTCGAATCAACGAAACCGAAGAGAAGGAACGCGTTTGGATAGAACGAGAGAAGGAAGCGACAGATGATGTCACGTTAATAGCGGCATCCGTTGTTTTTGATCTATAATCGGCTGCGAGGAATCGGCCGGTTAGAGAACTTTTTCAAAATAAGAAAAAATGAGAAAATAGTGTGCTTGAATTAAAATATGAGAAGGGGGGGGGGCATATGAAATGAATTAGACGAGATAAATGTAAAAAAGATATTCGAATAATGAAATTAAAAAATTACTTGACAGCTACGAAACTGTAACGGTAATCGAAACGTATATCGTCCTTAGAATCGAGGCAAACAACTTTGAGGTCCTTGATTTCGCATAGATCGCTGTCCATGCAGCCCAAAAGCATGGGAGAATTCCTGAGCCAATTCGTAAGGGCTTCCCTCAAAAATGTGTCTTGACAATCCTTGTTATCTATGTAAGGAACACTGCCAGCAGTTTTGAGAGAGAGGTTTCCGCTCACTGTAACAGTGGTAGGAAGAACGAGTTCTGTAGTGGGGATAATATTAGAGAGAAATGATTTATCTTCCCATGCATATTCCCAACCCAATTTTAAAAATGGAGAGTATTCTAATTTTCAAAAATGTGAGGCAATCGAGACTAGATCCTACATTGTTGATATATAAATCGGTGAGTTTCTAATATGATCAAGCAGAAAAATTCAAATTAAAAGGGGAAGATATATTACCAGAACAACTAGGAGTCTCCAAGTCGGGTAACCATTCAGTATTTTGGCATTTGAAATTCTTTCCTTCTTTGGCTTCTTCGACTATCATAACAGCGCCGAGATCGCAGGTGATCTTGCATTCTGCTCCAATTCCACTTTTCTCTCCAGCCGAGCATTCCAATATTCCTCGAGCTGGTTTGGCTAATGGGTGACAGGTAGAGCAAATCAAATCTGAACCAGACCAAGTCCCACTTTGAAGGCATTCTCTGGCCTTGGTGCCGGAGATGTAGGATAGATGAGGAGGGCATTTTCTGAGACATACCGAACCTGCAGTCGTGTCGGAACATGAAATGTCCACCGAGTTCGCGATGGAAGGGGGCAAGGAGCCACAGTTTAGGGCTTAAATACAAATATTAATAATCGTGCAAGTAATCCAACAATTGTTAGAATGAAGAAAGAAAAAAAATGAAATGGAGAGATAGTAGAATCTTAGTGCATATAAGTAAGATTGGTAATCTGTCGGTTTTCTATTAACTTAATAAAATCAACATCGTAAACTTTTACTCTACATCGGCAACCAAAAAAACTCATTATTTCGTAAAATATCACATGTTCTGTTATGATTGGTGTTTTTTTTAAATATTTTTGCTCACGCGTAATAATTTTGGGCCGATAATTTGCTCGTGGATTTGATATTTTTAATTATATATTTATATCAATTTTGGATAAATTGTTATGATTTCTGATTTATTCGGTTGGAGAATTATTTGCAAATATTATCTTTAATTTTTATTTATCATCCAATTTTTTAATTATATGTATAACAAGGCTGAAATTTATTGTAATTCATTATTATTATATTTTAATTAGTCTGTTTTTTCAAAATAAAGTTTTAATAAGGAGATATAACTGTGCACAAAATTTCTTTGAAAGGAAATAAATAAAAGATAAGAAAATAATTCGTAAGTTCTACTGGAGTTAAGGCAAAAACCAATATAATTTTTTATAAATAATTTCAGTAAACGGCATGCATATATTATCATAGATTCTATTTTGGTTGAAATTGAGTTTTAGTTTATTTTATAAATACTTAAGGAACCTTTCGTATATTAAATTTTAAAAAAATCTCCCAAATTTTATGGCCAACTATCTCATAATGCACTTGTGCAGTTTTTTAGAAATACATGTTATATTATCCCCTTAAAAGGCGAAAATAAATTAAACTTTTACCGTGGCAAGAGAGTAAAGGCTGAGACCATGTTCCGTCATCTTGACAAATTGCGGATTCCGCCCCAACTTTCGGCACGAACCCAGGTTTACATTTAAGATGGCACACCGACCCTGGTTTAGGCTCGGTCGGGCAAGCACTAGCTATGACATTCTCGTCATCTAGGTAAGGGTATCGACAAGACGTTTCTATTTAATAAATATATTATTTTTAAAGGTTATAAGTATAAGTTATATAAATTGATTATATTTGTGAAGATCATTGCTATTTAGAGTGACTTGACAATTTATCAGGTGATTTTTTAAAGTTCAATGGATGTAATAAATGCTTGGTACTAAAGGAAAGTGGTAACTCTAGTTAGGTAATTATTTTATTTTTAGATGGCTGAAACTAATTTTTAATCAAAAACTCTCACCATATCCACAAATTTTTCTTTGAAAATGTAAATGACCATGAAGAGAGCAGAAATAAGCTAATCCGCGATTCAGTGCTTAGAAAATTTTGTTTTATATAGATTGGGCCGAATTATCTGATTTTTGGTATATAGACTCTTCATTTTACGAACATTCATTAGCTATGAGCGTGGCTGTGAATAGAGGCTATTTATTTTGACCCTTGATGAGATCTGAGTAATTATGTCTCGGGATTTATGCATTTCTTCGCAATTGCCCCCTTTTCTTTATCCTCATTCATTTCCCTTGTTTTTTTACCCCCTAATTATTAAAAACAGTTGGTTTGGTGTGATATCGTTTAGGCCTTTATTCGCATTTACGAAAAGGGATGCATGGATTCATTCATTTATAATAGTTATTTTTAGAAAAAAAATTAATCAGCGACGTCGCTAAAAGAAGGGGATAAAAAGGCTCTCCGCCAACTAGTCTAAATTTATAAAAATAAGTTTTTACGAGCATGCGCAAATCAAAAAGTTTCTTTTTTCCAAATACACAAATAATAATTATTAAAAAAACTCTTTCAAATATTAATTTTAAAATATGTTTTTACTTTGGCAAACAAGTGGATAACCGCCCCAAGTTCCATCAGAATTGCAAGTCCTCTCAAAGTCGCCGCTGATGTATTTACTCCCGTCTTGACATTTAAAATGACAAGTAGTTCCGTAAGTGCCAGGGCATTTTTCTATTATAGCGTTGGCGGGACTGTTTATTGGAACGCATTGACGCCCTATTTTAAATTTTTTTTTAAAAAATAATCATTTATTTAAAAAAAATTCTCCATTTTGTTCCAAGGTATATTTTTTTCCGTCATTTAAAATGTAAAGAGATGACATGAATAAAAATACGGTAGTAATATAAACACATTTTTTTGATAAGTTAGGAAAGAGTTTAAAAAAACTATGAATTTATATGAAACCTTTAAAAAATAGAATCTTACCTATATCATAGTCGTAGGATCAATTTTAAAATGCGTTAATAAATTATAAACACTTTTTTTAAAATAAGTTTGAGATAAACTAATGAATTAATAAGAATCCAATAAAAAAATTAGAATCTTGTTTTAACATAGGTGACCTAGAAAATGCAAAAGAAAATTAATAAAAATTCTGAATATTCTCGGTTTATGGTAATTTTCTGCCTAAAGAGGAAGTAAATAGAACTATAAGTAATACGAGAATGTTCTAGTGTTGACCAGATTTAATGGAAATCATTTCCATATTTTTTGATTTATTTAAAAATAAAATTATTTTACTTGAAAAAAAATTGTTAAACAAATCAATTTTTCCAAGTTAAATAATTTTATTTACAAACGAATTAAAAAAATATGGAAATGTTATGTATTAAATCTGCATAACACTATAACGCTGTATTAAATCTGCATAACACTGTAATGCTAACAATAATGATGTCAGTATTAAATTCAAGAATTTCTCAAACAGTTTTCACACTGTTGAACAATTAGGAAAAAAAATCCCAATTACCTTCGCATTTTAGGAGGCTTCCAGACCAGTCGCCTTTGCTGGTACAAGTTCGAATTTCGGTACCGGATACTTTGACATATCCGGTTTTACATCTGAATTCGCAAGTCGAACCTAGCCGACCAAACCCGCAATTGACAGCTTCGATATCCTGAGGTGGAAAGGGACCGGATAAAAGGCTGGATAGATTATGTCGGCATATTAAATCTGCTAAGCAAGTTAGGCCGTCAGATAAGAGTGGGTTATCCTTTATTTTAATAAAATATATATTATTATATATTATTTTAAAACTTGTGTGATAACAAATTGTCAACCTCAACTGACTATAAATTTATAAGTAAATTAAGTTGATCAAATGAAATCAGATCGATAAAAATGTCTCATAGATTGCTAAAAATAATTATCTCAATCAATTAATCGTACCCAAATTATATACTATAAATATGATATATTTCAAGTTTTAAATTAAAAATCATTCAAACCAATTATCGTTTTAAGGTGTGTAATATTATTTAAGATAAAAGAAAATGGTTGGGCAGATTTATTTAATCTTTGTTTCGATAAATAAATAAATAATAAAAGGTTAATTTAATGAGATAAAACAGCTTACGTCTATATCGTCTCTATTCATTTTTATAGGGAGTTCGGTATCGCCTGCTCTGAGGGCCCTCGTCTTGGGATACCTCGTATCTGAGCATGCGCAAACCCTTCTCATGCCTTCGGGTACGGGAAAACATAAGTCCGAGCAACCGCCATTTTCGGGCTGACGGCACGGATGCGGCATATAGGAAGAAGATTTGGGTGGACCCACGTAGGCGTGAATATCTAGAAGTCGTGAAAAAGTAGGGCTCGTGATGTCTACCACTTTATCGGCAGAAGTCATGGGATCGAGAGAAGGAGATGGGGTAAGAGATGCATTATTAGTGGGTTGGATTGAGGACGCTTGGGTCATTATCTTTAATGAAAGATAAATTCGAGTGTATGGAATATATTAAATATTTTTCTATAAATGTTTATATGATATATTTTGTGATATCGAATTATTTTATATTGCAAGGTAATATTGATTTTTTTTTAAAAGTAAAAATAAGATTTTTAAAAAAATTTAAATAGAATTTATGGCCGATTTTTTTAAAAGGTTGGAATTTTATATTACAAAAGCTTTAAACGTGGTGGATTTACGAATAAAATTTGTATGCCATCATATTAAAATGATATCTTTATTCATATTAAAGAGGAATACCTTTTATATTTATATTTAACTACATGTAATAAGAAAGTCAAATTTACAATTTGAGTGCCCATCTTGCTAAATATAAAAAATAAATTACATTTTACGGTTACATGCGCAGTTAAGGGTAACGTGAGTGAAAAATTAATTGTAGAATTTTGAAAAATTTAGTTTAATATTACGTGGATCCTTTTTTATTATTATATAATAAAGTTAATATTGTCTTAAAAAAAATTAATTTGAATTTGATTAGGTCAATTTCACGAATCCTATTTGACCTGTAAAATGCACAACCTGTATTTATATATATAGTATTAAAATAATTTGTTATAAAACTTTTCCTTCGATTTTTAACAACCTCTTTATAAAATTGTTTAACTTGCCGTAATTATTGTAAAAATATGTTATTGCTCGTTTCTAAATTTGGATAAACCTTGACTTAAAAAAGAAATCATTCCTTCTACAGTCCTTCTGAAGAAGCGGCTATACCAAAGAGTTGATTGAAAATTAGGATTATTCATGTATTATCATCATTGGGGATGAAAAAAACAAATGAGAAAAAAACAATTAATATTTTAATTGCAAATTTTTTATTTTCACAATCACATAAGTTTATATTTTTAAAAAAACTAAAAATACAATTAATAGACAATCAAGTATTCATATTCTTTCATTGAGATATAAATTGGTTGCATTGAATTTTATGAACAAGATGGCATGCTCTAAATGTTCATGTTAAAAGTAATATCATCACTTTCTGCTCGAGCAATTATCATTCTTACAGTTTATATTATGATCCTTTTCTGCTGCTACTTGAAGAAGAAATGTGCTTTGAGCAAAATTTATATACATAAGTTTAAATTTCCAATATTTCCCTTTTCTCCAGCAATAAAAAGTTGTTTCTCATAAAGAGATTTGTATAGCGGCATATTTTAATTTAAAGAATAAAAAAAAATAAAATAAATATTAAATTAACTGATATATTTTGTTATTTTTTTAAAAAAAACTAATAAAATTTTAGTTATAAAAATAATTTCCATTGTTTTATTGAACATTCTGAACTAACTTTTACATTTGCATGTTTTGAAAAATAAAATTTATCAAAGTTTTTTTTAAAAAAATTTCCATCGTTCACTTACAACGAAACTGCTATAACCATGATGTGCCACCGATTAAATGATGATCTTTAGATTGAAAGTATTCATTTTTTGTCTTGATTGGTATGACTTGGTCTGGGGCGTGGATGGAGGCAGAGACCTGCATCCAAAAGCGATTCAGGGATTTTTTTTTTGGGGGGGGGGGTTCACTATTGTTGCTAAAAAGTCATATTCGGGTTGATTTTAAAAAACGGCCAGATTAAGTTAATAACCAAAATAACATTATGTAGTAAGCCTAAAAATTTTGCTCCATAGCTGGTAGAAATGCTTGAATATCCATTTGCCAAATCTCGATGCTCACTTAATATTATTTTATCTAAAATCATAATCTGGCTTTTTATCATCCCTAATGGTGACTGTATGAAAATGTATTTATCAATTTACCTCCAATAATAATTTTTATAAATCTAAAAATTTTATCTAGTTATGTAAAATCCGCATAAATAAAATTGATAAAAATAAACCAAAATCGGCCATTTTATAGCAGATTCTTAGTGTTGTAAAACGGCTCGATTTGAGCCGATTTTTGATCTAAATCAATATTTTATTCAGAAAAATGTAATGCAAACCCGAAGATTTCGCTCATAGATGGGGCACAAAGGTTTGGATTCTCTATTAGCCAAATCTCAAGTTTAGATAATATTTTTCTAGTGAAAATATTGAGTGAGCAGTTTTCAAAATAGGGGCAAATCGAGCTATTTACAAAACAAAACACAACCAATTCCGCATAAATAACAACAATATGTAGTGCCTAAATATTATAAAAATGTATTATATAAATGAATCAATGACATATAATAATACCTAGACTGACGATTCATTTATTAAAATGCATTTTTAAGCGTCGTTAAAAGCAAATCAGCTGGACCCGCCATTTTGGTAACCTTTATAATAATTATTTTCATGTTAAAAACTAATATTAAATTGATAACTTACTTTCTTATTATCTCGATGATCAGGCAATTCTTTAATAAAGTTTGCATCAGGTATAATATAAAATTAGGCTCTCGTTTAAAATTTTAATATTTATTACAGTAACCAAGATGGCGTCTCTAGCTGATTTGTATTGATGTACACTTTTAATGAATGAATTGTCAGTCTAGGTATTATTATATGTCATTGAAATGAATAAGCACATTTTATATTGAGAAAAATTTTCATGACTAAAAATAAGATATAAACAACATCTCTGCCCTACCGAGTACCAAGATAGCTCGGTAGAGAGTGTTAAATGGCACCAATGTTAGGAAAAAATTCTTTAACTCCTGGGAGTCTACCGTAGAGGTCTGCAATGGCGGGTTTTTAGCCAGCCCGCCTATTCTCCGAGCGCCCTTTAATCATTGAGCGGGTGGCGTGCAGATTAAAAAATATTTTTAAAACGCGATGAGCGGGTGTATTTTAAATTATTTTACTAGTCAAAATGGGCAGAACAGACTTATATTTATAAAGAGGTCCTTTTTTTTTATTTCATAATATTGCATATTTTATAAGTTTAATTTATAAAAAACAGTAAAATATGAATAAAGAGTAAAACCAGTCATTAAATAATTTTTAAGTATTGGACAAGTTTAAAAGGACGGGAGGGCAAGTGGGTTAAAAAATTCAAAATTGCAGACCTCTAGTTTACCACCAGATCCATAAACTCCCCTCGGCCTCCTCCCCGTCGCGTGGATGCCTCAGACATTCCCTCCGTATGAGCCTTGGGCATCGTTCCACAAATTTTTTCGCAATATAATGTGCCTTTACATTAATACATGTTTATAATATTTAGGCAATAAAAGTGTAGAATCATATTTGGTGGGTGTAGTCATAGTTATTATATTGATAATTTGGTGATTAATGAATCAATATTATTTTAGTTTTCTGTTCATTCGAATATTTGCGGATCTGCTATAAAAGGGCCGATTTTGGTTACTTTTACCAATATTTTTTTATATTTACACGAATTTTAAAAATTTTTCTAAAAGAAAAGTTTTGGATTCAGAAAAATATAATTGAAAGGCAAAACTTGATAAATAAATTTCCATATAGTGACCACCATTTATTCTGAGGCACAACGTGTTTATTGTAGTTCTACGTTTTCCACAACAAGAATTAAAGTGCCAACTTTACCAAACAAGAATATTTTTATTCAAAAAAAAAGAATTAATGGAAAATTAACCAATTTCGTTCCCTTTTATAGACAATTCTAAATAAAAAAATAATAAAAATAACATAAATACAATAATTCAAATAAACAAAATAATATTATATATAAATAAAAACAAAATAATAAAAAATAACTTTAAACAAAGATAGATAACTCGCGTGATTACTTTAACCAATCATAAATACATCCAATAATAGAATACTGTGCGACTATAAAAACAATTATCATGGTAAAATTCGCGTTAAAAAAAACCTATATTTACAACACCCCGTGTTAATAATATTGTTTGTTTCGTGTTTCTTTCATCCTTAATTACCACTGGTCAAAATTATATTTCAGTATCTCCACCCGCAAGATTCGAGACATTATTTAAAATAAAGGCGAAAGCATTATTTTTACTAAACGTTTCCATTTAATTTAATTGGTGTACAAAATCTTCGACACAATCTTATATCGGTGATTTTTTTATAATTTATATCCAAAGATTTTGAGATTGAAATCAGCATCGTTATAATATCTTGAGCCCTGTATGAGGGACCCCCAAAACATGTAGCCCGTCTATGTTACAACTCGAATGATACCTGTAGGGCCACCAAGGGAGGTTTTGGAATCGATTTCGATTAAGTCTTTAACCGGCCATAGTAACGTGTGGGTTCTAACACGACTGTAGCTACTCCAGGACTAAATACGGATCGCAAAGAGATGGCGAAAATGATGGGATATTTGTCTCCTAATGGATGAATGGGCATATTTGTTAAAATTATGATCGTTACATAATTTTTTAGGAGAGCATTGGTTTTTTTAAAATATAGTATATTAGTAATTAGATGTAACGTTTTTTTTATATTTGCCTATTGTCATATTAGTACGTCATATTTTCCTATGAGTGAGATATCTTATTTATGGTTCAGAAAATTATAACGGTTTATATCGATTTCGCAGTTCGGTTTGACACCCTGCAGTTTAATGATAAAATCTTATATATTTAATTTGTTATTGTTATAAATTTACATTTAAAGAGTATACTAGTTAAATATTTAAGTGTTATGTTAAAAAAATTAGTATTAATTATAATAATTTTTAAGCAAGGAAAGGCCATTAAATAAATTTCATTTGACTGCTAAAATAAGCATAAACAATATTCAAAAAGCATTTTTTTATAGTAAAAGTCAAGAGATTTATAAAGTCTTAATTAGTCTAAGGAAAAATAGACAATTTTAAAAAAATTGCATAAAATTTGTCAAATGTTGTTATTAAAATAAAATGAAAAAGGAGTGAGGTTAGTGGATGCCTGGTTGAGGTTATAATTACAAACTTTATAATTACAAACTTTAATTAATAAAGTTTTTTTTTTAAGTTGTTTATAAATAAATCTATATTATTTATATTGTAAAAGTTAATTAATATTTTATATTTTTTTTTTCTCTTCGAAGTTTATAAATTCAAATTAAAAATTAATTATCAATATCCATTAAAAAAAATATAAAGATTATAAATAATAATTATCCAGCTTCATATATTCTTCATCCCCACAGGTCCATTCTTTGTTCCTCCCAGCTGACATCTTCTCCAATTAATCCAATATCTTCACTCCAAATCTCCAACAAAAGACTTTTCTTTAACAGTAACCCATGTGATCCCTTCGTCTTTTTCCCATCCACCAGGAAAGACTAATTCCCTGTCATAAAATAACTGACATTTGATGTATTATATTAAATTTATTCTTTTCTTCAACAGCTACAATGATATATTGCAGAGAGCTGTGGCCACTACGCTAACTACTGGTGTTCCGCAGACGGCGGGCACTGAGGATTTTTGGGTCAACCTTATGTCTGTCTAAGAAAGTTATGTGTGAAGAAATTCTCAAACTATTAGTGAAAGCCATATTTTTTTTTTAGGTTTATTTTTGTTTTATATATGCCGATATGCCATGAGCCCATAAAGGGGTGGCATGTCGTATTTGTATATACGAATATATTTATTTTTTACGCGAAATGCCAATCAACCGATTTAAATAAGGTTGATTGGATATGAAAATTACATGTGATGATATATATATTTTTTTGATATAGATTATTAGAAAAGTATTCATTAATTTTTACAATATAAATAATAAAGATCCATATTTATTCATAATTATATTTATATATCCATTAAAAAAAATATAAAGATTATAAATAATAATTATCCAGCTTCATATATGATTTTAAAAAAAATATATCAGGCAATAATAAAATTATATCTTTACCACAAGGCTAGTCAAAGTAGTACTGAGTGATTGTTGATCATTGGAGGTAGGGGTAGGTGCAGAAGTGAGGGAAGAGACGGCGACCTGCTTAGGGCGGAAAGCAGAAGTCGTAGAGGCTTGTCTTTTGCCCCTACTCCCATCGGCTAATTTTTAATCAATCAAAATTATATAACGGTAAAAGTTATGGGCAAATATATTCATATTTAATTTTTATTGGTGCTATTTTTTTAAAAAAAATTTGATTAAATAAAAGGAAAATAATTTATCGAATAATATTTCCCCGTAGTAACGGTTTTCGTAACATGTTACTATTTTGAAAAAAAGTAACGACGTTATTATGCAGATATAACTGTTATGATTGACGTTTTTCTGAGATTAATTTAATATAATAGTCAGTTGTCAATCAATTTTATACGTGTTTGTATCATATTGAATTTTATTAACCTATATTTAACACGTTGAACTCGTGTGGTGTCATATTAAATTAATCAAAAAATAAATTCTTTTTAAATAATAAAAATGTTTGTATATATATATTCTTAAATTAATAATTTAAAAAAAATGAGAAAATTTTTAAAATGAACTTGTTGTAAGCTGTAAATCGACTCTAGGTAATCGCCTAACAGTAGACGTTATCCAATCGGTCCAGAAAAAGTAGTCAGGAGTTATGGTTAAAGCAAACGGATGTTTTCTCACCATACTAACTATCAAACGAAGGTCCCCGCCATCAAAATCGCAGGATGATAAGGTGTCGCGTTTAGCGTCTACCCAGAACAGTCGTTTGTCTGTGATCGATTTGTTAATATATATTGTGAATTAGGAAGCGTAAAAAAAAATTAGGGATAAGTTAATACTCGTTTCTCATTTTCCTCCAATAATAAATAAACTTTTAAAAAGAAAAAAAAAATTTATGAGATTTCCCTGTCTAACTTTGTTTGTCGATCGATAACCCGTTAGGCCATATGATGTCATCTTCGATGAGGGTCTTGCGGTGGGTCCCATCCATATAGGCCTTCTCTATTTTGGCGTGCGAGCCCCAATCGGTCCAATACATGTAACTTTACAAATGTATAACATAAAATATAACAATAAAAGTAGAGACCAATTTGTAAAACTATTAGGTTTTAAAACCTTCTGTTGAGGTATTACTTATTACAGAAATTTTAAAAATTGAATTTAAATTTGCATGATTGTAGGGCTATGAAAGCTACTCGTAGACTTCGTAAAGAAACAAAAAGGAAGGAGAATGCTTTAAAAAATTCAATATAAACTGAACCCATTATCGACGTCCAATTGAATGGCCCTGGGTTCGTCCAAATTCTCGGTAACAATATCCTTGTGCTTGGCACCATCCAGTGAGAGCACGCTTATGACGTTGCGACCCGTGTCCGAATAATAAATTAGTCTTATGACCGGATCAAGGGTTAATCCATCCGGTAAGGAAACTTTAAAAAAAATTAATTTATTTTGAATAAATTTTAATATTCTAATATAATCGTGGTTTAATTTAATTATTACTATATTTTTGATAACTCAAAGATAATGTTTTTTTATGTTACTATTTTAAAAAACATTAATAATTGAAGAAATCCTTATGTATTATTTTTAGGAAATTACATCTTAGTGAAAAAAAAGGCTTCTAGAAGAATTTATTTAAAAATATAAATATTAGAAGTAAGAATATACCATTAGGCAACAGCTGCTTGACCACTTTATATCCCTTGCCGTCTAAAGTCGCTCTCTTAATATTCCGCTCCCGTACATCGGACCAATACATGAACCTAGTTGCGTTTAGATAAAGAAAAAAAATGTTTAATAAAGGAAATGAATTAAATTTCGTTTTTTTTTTAAAAAGGAACTAATTTTTAATTTAAGAGCAGTTTAAGAATCTCGTTCACATATTTATAAAAAAATAATAATTCCTAATAGGAGTGTTTCGAAACAACTATCTTAGTTATCTCGGATCTCATTGAGAGCCACTTTTTGCCCCCCCCCCTCTCGGTGCTCTTTGTTTTTTAAAAAATTTTATATTTATACATGATTTTCTTACATATTATAATAAAGTTTTATATATAATGCTATTATTTAAATATGTTTTGTAAAATTTAATAAATATCATTTTAATGGGGAGGGGGGGGGATAAAAATGTAAAGTAAAACGATTTATTAAATTTAAAAAAAAACAAATTAACGGCTTGACCCTAGAGAGAAAATTTGCAAAGACTCAAAAAAAATGAAAATCAAGTTTTGTTAAAAGGCTATTTTTGAAAAGTAACTATAATTCAGTTATGGTTACTAAAATGGTATAATCTTTAAAAATCAGGGCTAAACCATTTTTTAAAAAATAAAAATAAGTTTGTATTATATCAATTAGAAAATAATATAATGTAGGGTTTAATATTCATTTATTGCTCATCTTTATACCGACCTTATATAACAATTTGCAAAATATTATAAAGGTTAGGCCAAAAATAGTATCAAATATAAAAAACCGGCCCGGTTAAATAATATAAACATTTTAAGATCCGGGCTGGGCCCAAAGGTCTTTCAAAAGCAAGGATGTGAACCCGGATCCTGAACCCCGGTATTTTGGCTGAACCCAACCCCGGACCCTTTTTTAAAAGTGGAGGGTTAAATTCTAGGTATCAAAAAATATTAAACCTTTAAATTAAAAAATAAATTAAAATTTTTTTTCTCGAGGAATCAATTTTTTTTCTCTTCCCATTTCCAAAATATTTTGGTTTTTATCATAGACTTATATTAACATAGAGCTATTTTATGAATTTATAAAAACAAAATTATTTAAATCGCATATAAATAAAAATTGCAAGATATAACATTTTTCATCAAATAAGAAAAGGAATACATGAAAATGAAAGTGAGAAACTACTTTAGATAACAATATTTTATTAGTCTACGAGAGGCATATTTTATGCCTTTATAAATTTAATGTCTGCAAAACTATAATCCCAACATCAAACATTTCCCTTTTTATCCCTCAAGTGGCAACAATGTCTTACCATATTATTAACACCTTATTTTTACATTTTAGTGTTTGGGAAAACATAATATATACCAAAAATAACAAAGCACCTAAAAAAAAACCTTAGATACACACCATTACAGTAAATTAAATTATTTATTAGTTACATTTTTCTATTTCAAAGGCACATATACCTTAGATCTTATCATAGCCGAAGTGTCACGATCAACCAAAACATCTTCATTCATATCACATGTAATTATACCACATATTAAATGATACCTATTTCTATATCATTTAAACAAAAAATAGTCTCTTGATACTATTTTCTAAGCATAACATCACTGTAAAAGAAAGAAACAAAAAAAATCACAAATCAATTATGTAATATAATTATAATTTTTATTTATCATTAATTTTTTATTTGAAATAAAACGTCTTTAATCCACTAAAAGAAAATTTAATTAATATTCTAAATTAATTATTTCCTCATTATAATATTCCACCACCATTATATACATTCATAAATTTATTATTAAAAATAAAATATTAATGTTACGAACATTTTTTTAGTTTCGGATAAAGCTTTTCTGAATATATAAAAATTTTATATAAGAATACAAATTATAGGTCTGCAATTAGCAGGTTTTTAAAAATTTTAACCTACTCGCCCAACCTGTTTATAGTTTTCAAAAAATACACCCTTCCCGCCCTTTAGTGTAAAATTCCTTACCCGCCCGCCCATTTATAAAAAAATTTTACCACACGCCGCCCATATAAAATTAAAATAAACTCATTCTTTCAATTTTTTTAAGCATCTAAAAAAATGATTTTGTTTCATACAACGTTAAATACCTATAAAAAAAATCTATAATTTAGAAAATTGGTATATTAAGAATATTCAATTTAAATTACGGAATAAAATATTTATTGATACTAAAAACCTTCCAGCAATGCTAATTTCTCGTTTAGAAGCACTGGTTACTGGAATTGCCAATATTTTTTTTAGCTATTTACAAATATTTTTCTTGTCGTTTCCATCAAAGTAGGATATCCGTTCGAAGTATATCCTCTACTCAAGTGAGATATTTAAATAAAAAGTGAATCCATTAATAATAAAAATTTTAGAAAGTAATTTAAATTAATTGTTAATAAATTGTAAACTTACAAAAACTTGTTACTTTAAGATTTAAATATTTTATTTTGTCATTAAGTATTGCTCTCCTCTGTAACAACCATATCTAACTTGTTTAATTTTGAGGTGGATTTATAAATCTGAATTGAATTATCTTTGCTTTTATGAAAACGGGTAAAATCAGATTTTCATCCATGTTTGGTGTTATATTTTTCCAAGCAAATCAAATACACATGTTTCCGATATATTTAGTACCTAATTAATTTCTTCCAACCAACATCCTCTATCGATATACTTTGGTATTAAAAATGTTGAAATTTCAGGGGGCATATTTTTTTCAATGTTTACTTAAATGATTTTAAATTACAAATAAAAGTTGTAAATTTTTTAACCCACCCGCCCATCCATAGTTTAAATATTTTGCATAATCCGCCCATACGCATGTTCTTTTAAAAAAATTTAACAAATTTGTGTCTAAAATAGATGCTAATTCCCAACAATAAGCTTTCCTATGAACTAAACGCATTTTACAAGAGGCCGCTATAAAAAAAGTGAGACACGATATTTAATAAACGTTATTTTAAATTTGGGAAATCAACAAATAAAAATAATAAATGAGATATTATCATATTTTAAAAAGTAACTAGCTGCAGCTAATTTTTCACAAAAACCATTTGTGAATTAGTTACCTTAACAACACTGGAAAATTGTCATAAATAATATGTACCATTATTTTCATTATATAAAAATTTATTTAAAATAAAGCAATAATCATAAAAATTATTTAATTAATATTTAAATATTATTATTAAATTATGATAAAATAGTTTTCATTTTTTGATAAATAACAATAAGATATAAAATAATAAGGGTTTATTTCTCCAAAAATAAAACAATATATAAGAAATGTTTAGCATAAGATAGGAGGCTACTAAAAAACAGGCTAAATTTCTACAATTTTTTTTAATAATAACGATTTTGAAAGGTAACCTCTCATTAGTAGTTAGCACAAATTCGCGGCGAATTATACAAAATATATTGTTTTCTATACTCTGCGGCGAACTTGTGCTAACTGTGAATGAGGTCTTACCCTGGATGTTAACATGAATTAGTGGCGAAGTATACAAAATATGCTGTATTTTTGAGTCAATTTATATACTTCACCGCGAATTAGCGCTAACTATGAATGCAGGAATACGAGGAGGATTAGTGAGGATTGTTTTTAAAAAATAAATAAAAATTACATAAAATATTGATATTACTTGTCAACAGGATCATAATCAAGGGCCGCGGGCCTAGCATGGGATAGGCCAGGGATAAGATGGAATTTTGTCATGTCATCATAATTCATGACAAATATATCGGGAAGTACACCGTCAGCGAATATCAAGAATCGTTCAAACATTTCGGCTAATTAAAAAAAAATGTGGGGAATTTTTTTTTCTACATGACTTAAAATATTTTCAGCTGGCGGGGAATTTTAAAAAATTTCAAACATAAAATTAATGCGGGATCGGGTTCGGGCCGGGCCTAATATTTTTAAAAAAATTTCGGGCCGGGTCGGGTCGGACCTTGGAAATTTTTTAAAATATATCTAAATTTATCAATTTTATATTGAATTTTTAATGTAAAATAAAAATTTTTGATTTAATTTGTTGAAACTAAACGCCATATAACATATGTCTTTTATTTTTGGTAATTATAAAAATTAATTTCTATATTTAAATAAATTCGGACCGCACGGTAAATTTTTTTAAAATAAATTTCGGGTTCGGGCCGGGCCGGCAAAACTTTTTGAAAAAAATTTCGGGCCGGGCTGGTAAAATTAGGCCCGATGCAGATCACTAATTTATAGTATGTTTATGTCATTATTTTAAAACTTTCAGATGAGCAGGTTCGTTTATCATTGGAGAGAATGAGTCCGTCTGGACAAGAGCAAGTGACACGCCTTCCACCGGCAGAAATAGGGAGTGGAAAACAAATATGGCTGCAACCACCGTTACGAACGCAACTATTAGTGATGGCCGTTAGGTTCTTGAGGAAAACTCTTAAGGTTCCTTTATTTATAAAAAAATTAGTAGTTAAAAGGATTTCTTAAAATTCAATAAATATATAATATTACGAAGGTGTCTATTTATAAATTAAGAAATGAGCAAATAAAAATATTATGGGCAAAAACCGCAAATTTATCAAAGCTAATAAAAATATCCACCCTATATCATAAAACAATTATAAACATTCAATTTTCTCACAAAATGTTCTATCTACCAGCTAAAATAATAAAATTATAATAATCATCCCAAAAAATTTTCCTTAGATCCTTTTAAAGTTATTTAGTTTTTTTTAACTTTGATACATTGATAGAAAGAAGAAATATTAGGGGTTCCGATAGTTCGATTATTCAAAAATAATATTTAAGCTAAAATGGCCACTAATTTTTTAAAAAAATACTAAACTTAGTCTCGAAAATTCCAATATTAACCGACAATACATAGAGCAAAAAAAACGTGTACCTAATCGACTGAACACTTTAGGTCCCAGGCTGAGTTTATCGTTGTACTGGCCGAACTTGGGGGAGCGCAACACGTTAGACCTCGTCCAATCAGACCAGTAAATGAAAGAAGAATCAACGGCTATTCCGTAGGGATGGATCGAGGTACCGAAAAATATGACGGAACGGTTTGTGCCGTCGTAATTCATGCGCTCGATTTTGTCAAGCCGTGCGTCGCACCAGTACAAGTTACCCTCTTTCGTAGTAAAATATAAATGTTGAAGGAAATAAAGTTTTCAAAAGGAAATGGAAAGCATAACATGAGTTCTGATTCTAGTTCCAAACATTTTTTTTAAAATGCGGTCTTCCGGTTTCTAAAATTCTGAAAAATGGGTTTTGATCTCGGTTATTAAATTTGAATTTCCCCTTTAACCCGGACTTTCCAGATTTTACTTCCAAACTCTGATATCATCTATCCATTTTTAATAAATCCAAATATTTTTATAATTATTATTCATTTTTTTAATTTTAATAATTATATACTATTAATTTTATTTATAAAAAGTTTTTCTTATAGTTAATTTTCCTAAATTAATATAAAAAAAATTATGTCTTCCGAATGCTTAGAAAATTTTAAAAAAATATATAGCCAGCGTAACATGTGTTAAAATTTTTTGGCTTTTATACATACTGAAAGTTAGCCAAAAAATATGCCTAACCATATGTTGACGGTTAGCGCGAATTCGTGGTGAAGTATAAAAGATATGATATAAATCAGAGACTTGCAGGCCCGGTATTAAACCAGGGTACACGGGCCGTGCCGTATTTTAATTTTTTAAATATACCAGGTCCGGGCCTAAAATTTCTTTATTTAAAATACCCGGGATGGGTCTTAAAATATATTTTTTTTAAATACCCGGGCCTATATTTTAAAACCAAACATTTTAAATCGCCATTATTAGGCATAAAAATTTAAAAATAAATATAATATATTATAAAAAAAACCGGGCCGAACTGGGTCTGAAAATATAAAACCCGGTACTGGCCGTACAAATGGTACCTCTTGGAGGTCTATGATATAAATATAATAATTTTACATTCATTTTGTATACTTCGGCCGCGAATTCTCGTTAAGTGCGAATGCAGGGTAATAAAAAATAAATTGATATTAATTTATTAGGTTCTTTTATTTTTGACCCATTAAATGTGAACAAACCCTTTGGCAGAAATAGGTTCACTCAAATCAATTCTTAGAAAAATTCTTATAGAATTTTTATATAAAATGATACCTTGATGATCGGCTACTATTCCAGTGGGATTACTGACTCCTTCGGTGGCTAAAATTTTAATGTTGGTCCCATCGCCCCAACTCGATTTTATGCTCGGGTTCTCACCCCACTCGTTCCAGAATAACATACTTTTTTTAAATAAAAAAAATTATTTAAAATATCGGTAGGATTCAATTTTAAAAATTTTGATTATTGGCATTAGAGCCCCCAAAAATTTAACCCCCTCCCCCTTTTATTTTTAAGTTTGGTCAGAATTTTTATTTTAAAGGCCCGGTATAAAAAAATATATTTAAAATATCTTTGAGGTTAAAATAAAATATTTCAAAAAAATCACTATTTGTTTTGTCATATCATTTTTTAAGTATTTTAAAGCCCCATTCTGGACCGCTTCAAAAATAATTCGACCGGAGACTGACATGCAGGGCCCTCTTCCCTCCTATTTATTTTTCTTAAACTAAAGTAACTACAAGTGACCATTTTCAATTTGTACAAATTTATGAGATTTTTTGAATTTAAAACATTTCCTCTTATATATATTAACGTCAATTTGTTTTTTCCGGCAATGTGTTATTATTTCAAATTATAAATCATTTTTTGGTCCCTTTTTTTTAAATTTCTAAATTTGATTTTACCGGAAATGCCTTTCATCATGTTTGGAATACCTATCCTATGAATTTCATATAATTTTTCGATGAACTTTTAAATTTATATTCAATTTTCCATATATTCTTTATTTAGATTATAAATGACTCAAAGGTTAACCGCAAAATTGTCTACAATTAAGATAGGTATTCCAAACATGATAGAATATATTTCCGGTAAAATCAGGTTTTTAAATTCTTAAAATGCGCTCAAGATTTAAAGTTTTAAAAATAACACATTGCTGGAAAAAACACATTGACCCTAACATATATAAAAGAATAAATACTATACGTGTATACGATAATTACCCAGCCTCTGCATCTAGGGCCATAGCCCTAGGATCTTCCAAATTCTTAATGAGAACTTTGTGATTTTTGCCGTTTACGTCCATAACCGCCATCAGTTTCAAACCAGCGTTATTGTAATATATCAAACGTGATAACCAATCTATGGCCATTCCAGTTGGGTTCGATACTAATATATAAAAAATATATAATGGTATATTTTTAATTACATTAAGATGATACTATTAAGGGGTGTTTTAAAGCGGGCGGGACGATTTACATTTATAAATCAGCATTAGGCAGAATATCGAGTTTAAGCTTGATATTTTAAAAATTATTTCATTTCTGAATTATTATTTTTTAAATTTTAGAATTTTGTATTATGAAATAATTATGAGAGATGCTAGGATTTTAAATAAATCAGTATGAAAAAATTATTTCATAAATGGCGTGATTATTAGGGTCATTTTTTGACAGGATATTGGTATAAGTTGGAATCCCGCAAATTCCATGAAAATAACCAGTTCCTATATATTAATAATATAAAACCGGTACAGGAAACAGATTCGGCCCTGTATCGGAAAAATATTACCGAACTCGGACCGGTTACAAAGTAAAATCCTTTACTTCGCAAAAATATTATTTCAAACCCGTATCATTTAAAGATCTTCGAACAGTTATAAAAATTCGCATTATACCCAAATCGTTCAAAAATCTCATGGACATTCCATTAACAGGTCCGGTCGGATCCAAATGAATGCGCCTTATGACTTTCGTCCCCTCATCGACCCAATATACGAATTTTTCCTTGGGGTCGTAATCGACGGCGTCGGGCCGTTTCATTTCGAGTATCGGCAAGTAGAAGTGGCGCTCGTGAGAGGACATGTCCATCACCATTATCTTGGCTTGGTAGGAATCGCTGACTAGCAAGAATTCGTCCAGAGGACGATAACCTTTTGTGTGTATAATATATTAATAATATTCCCGTGTTGTGTAATAATATCCGAGAACCCCAAGGCCCGGCCTAAAATTTCAGAGCGGATTTGAAAACCGATCAAATTTAGATGGGTCGGGGTAATGTCGGCCTATAATTTATATAATATAAATATCCTATACTAATTTAATTATGTATGCGACGAATTAAATAATAGTGTTTGTTTTAATGATGTTATGTACCATTTGTAAAAGAAAAGTTTTTCTTTCTAGCTATAATCCATTACAAAAACAAATTTCGTAATGAAGTGTTAGAATTATTACAATAAATGTATTCAAATACAATTAAATAAAGTCATTATATTTATCTTTCATTTGTAATGACAACAAATATATATAACCTTCGCAAGTTGTGGAATCGCTCAGCAAGGAACTGCCATCTTGACACCCACAAATGCGTGTCAATGAATCAGTTGTCGCCAAACCACTAGATGGAGTCGGAAAGCATAGTTGAGTACACCCACCATTATTAGTCGAGCAAGGATGATTGATGGCTAAATATTTTCAGGAAAAATATAGAGTATCTTTCTTTTTTATTTGTAGTAATTAAACAAAATGAGATTTTTATCCAATTAGTGTAACAGAGATGAAAAAATGGACCTATATTTTTTTTAAAAAAATGTATAATAATGTAACAAACGTGACAATGCATTCTTGGCATCCGTGTCTCTGTATATCTTTACGTCCCCCAGCTTATCGAAAAGTCGGTCAACTGGGTCTATCACGTGGTGAGCGTCCCTCTCGGTTTTTTTAAGGGCTAATAATTTGCTTTGGCTCCAATCCGTCCACACCAGATGGTCTTGGTACAAGGCTAGGCCGAAAGGGTATATTACCTATAGAAGCCATTTGATTAAAAGGCAATATTAAAGGATTCGAATCCTGAAAAAGTTTTTATGATGTGACAGATCTGGTTTGAAATTAATGATATATATACTACTAGATTGGTTATTCATTCATTAAAACCGTTCATAAATATAAGTCAGCAAGCAGTAAGGCTATTTTGTGGTTTGCACGTCGACTAATTGTCTTATTTATAATTATACGAATGCACATTAATACCATTTAATTGGCGTGCAAAGTACAAAATGGCGCTACCGCTGACTGCATGCATTTAATGAATGAATCGCCAATCTAGCAGTATATAAGATACGGTTTCTCTTTTCCTAGTATAGTTATAAATATTTAAAGTATCAGATTTTTTTAAAGTAAACGTTCAAAGACTGAAACGAGTTTTTTTATAGTACTTAACTAATTAGCTTAAAATTGTGTTAATTTAGATTATGTGATCATGCGTACTGGTAGAGCATTAGTAATTAAAGACAGGTCAGCGAATAAATGCCCTGAATTACCTTCTAACATATATATTATGTGATATAAAAAATTTGATATTATAATGGAAACAAATCACCTTAGTTTCGAGTACAACGGCGCGTCCCGTCCCGTCCAACTCGGAAACTTCTATCTTTTTGAGTTTAGCGTCGCCCCAATACAATTTACGCTCTTAATTGCAAAAACAAATTTTTTTAAAGAAAAAATTCATAATCGGTAATAAAAGATGATACATATATAATTTTTATATAATAAAAAAACCGATTTGATCGACAGCCAAACTCCAAGGCATGACGAGTTTTGTGTCTATAATGACAGTTCTATCGGTGCCGTCCATGTGAGATCTTTCGATTTTTGGCGGTTGGCCCCAATCCGTCCAATACAATAAACTATTACGAAAATTGTTTAATAATGTTATAAAATTTAAAGTATTATGAGCAATTTATAGACAGCTAGGATAAACAAAAAAATAACGTCTCATATTGGATATTTTTGTCGTAAATAAGTTATTTTCTTTTCCTTCCTTTTCTTATTACCTTTATTCTGTCTTCTTTCAATTCAAGCAAAAAAAAATGTATGAGATAAAAAAAAACCCGAGTTCCGGAGCGACTTGGATGGCCTTAACCTTGGTCGTATTTTCGTTGAACAGTTCCTTGTGATACATACCGTCTAACCTCATGACGCTGATAGTGTCCGTGCCGGGATCGCCATAATATAGAAGCCTAGAGCTCGGGTCTATGCTCACGCCGGAAGTTAAGGAATCTTAAAAAGACAGTAGTACAATCATTTTAAATATCGGATTCAAAATTTAGGGTATTTATTTTAGATAAGTCCTGTGAAAAAAAAGAAATGCTTACCAACTAGTCAATACCATTATACCATAATAGACACCAGTGTTGAGAACACAAGAGAGGGAGGAGGCATGGGAATTGACTATTTTTAAATAATTGTATTTTAAAATTCTTAATTTTCAATATTTTTTATGAAATAACTCGTTTCTTCACATTATAATATATAGTAAAACGCGAGTTCTTAAACGACTCGATATTTAAAAACGCTTAACCCAATATTTTAGCCAAAAAAATGTTAGGCATGCCTCAAGATAGATGTTCTAAACTTTCTGCCATCTATGAGCAAAATTTCCGGGCTTTCGTATTATATTTTGGCTAAAATCTTTATAGCCGTTTTTAAAAAAGAATAAAGATATTTAAATATTAATTGTAAAAAAGACCATGGTGGTTAAGGTTATTTTTATATGTTTTTTTAACATAACAAATTTGAAAAACATTCTAATTTTTTAGTTTTCAATTTAAAAACATTTCTATAACTGGCTTATTATATTCTTCTCTTTTGTTTTATTCTACATTATACTATATTTCTTAGAAATTCGCAAAGTAGAGAAATATGGTATGAATAGATAATTAAATTTTATTCTTGTAAGAGGTTCCTGCATAAGGTCGTTCATATCTCAATTTTAGAAAAATGAATTATCTGAATTTTAGAAAAATGAATTGAAATCGTTTTCATGCTTTGCAGGATCGTAGCCTCAACATGTTGCTTGGTGTCATGGCACAATCAACAGCTGTTGCAATTAGTGTTGTTAAACGGCTCATTTTGAGCCAATTTTTAAAAAGAGTTAACTCAATATTTTAATAGGAAATTTATTATGCAAGCCTTAAGATTTTGCTCATAAGTGGCACAAAGGTTTGAACATCTATTAACGAAATTTCTAGGTTTAGATAATATATTTCTGGCTAAAATATTATGTTGGCCGTTTTTAAAAATCGGCTCAAATCGAGCCGTTTAATAACACTAGTTGCAATTTCATTTTTTTGGTATTGGGAAACGTAATAATTATATTTTCTGCTGCTTCCTTAAAGATGGCACATTACTAAAGATGATACCAATATTTTTACATTAAATCCGATAGCGAGAACTCGATAGGAAATTAGAGTGTCAAGGCAATCTGATATCAGTTTACTAATATTTATCATGCTATAATGGATGTTATTTCAAACGTGGCTAACTTTCTTTAGAGTTTAAATCTTAAACTTTGTATTTTATAGGAGGAGGGTCTATTTTGCTCTTCCTTTAAAAAAATTTTGACAAGAAAAAAAACGGAATAATAATGTTTGTTTATGATGTTCTATCATAGGTGAATCTTGTAAAAGATTAGATTACTAAAAGTCAAACATGACCCTGGATACAATCTTCAAGCCATCTTAAAAAATGATTCATTTAAGAAGACCACTATAAAGGACTCCACCAGAAATGACTTTGTATTATAAATATTTGACACTTATTATAACTCGATAAAATAATAAATTATACAAAGTGTGCCCTTTACTTAGAGGGTTAAGTTTCCGGATGATTTCGAGGTCTGAACCATCAAAGTTGAAGCGAATAATGGTACCGGATTGAGAATTCGTGGTATAAATCTTGCGCTCAACTGGGTCCACATCCATAGCGAGCGGACTGGCGATCGAAATGGGCGATATTTCTGTGCCATTTTGTATGAGGAAGCTGTCCGATATGTTGTAACGGAATATTTTGTTCGATTCGGATTCCGGAAATATTATGTAATCTAATGATAAAGGAAAGAGAAAAAAAAAGATTTAAATTGCATTTATAATAATTATGTGCATGTTTAGCGGTATAAATATATATGTTATAGGCAGTTATTTTTCAACTTTATATTATTTGTTGAGCGCGTTTCTTAAATTTAAAATCTGATTTTACCGAAAATGTATTCCAGCATGTTTAGAATACCTATCTTATGAATTGTAGATAATCTTACCGCTAAATTTTGAGTCATTTATAATGTATATAAAAATATTATATATATAAAGTTCAAATGTTTATGACAAAATTATCTGAAATTCATAGGGTATGCATTCCAAAATTGAAATACATTTCCGGCAAAATTAGACTTTTAAATTTAAAAAAATGCCCTCAAAAATGATTTAAAGTTGAAAAAATAACACATAGCAGGAAAAAACACATTGCTGCTAACATGTACAATGTTGTGCTATAATTTTACATAAAATATGGTACATAATACATACCCATAATAATTTAATTTTTTTTTTAAAAAAAAGTGAATTAAAGACACTTTGAAATATATATTTTTAAAAAAAATTAGGATTGTGATTTGGTTGAAACATAATTGTTCGACCAAAAAAATATTTAAAAGGTTTGTAAAAAAAAAGGATTTTCAATTTGTCGCGCACCATTTAACGTTTGAAAGTTTCTTAATTATCATTTATATTTTAGTAGTTTATAAGTCAATTTTAGCTCACAGGTTTTTCTTAAAAACAGCCCAAATTTGAAAGAAACTAGTGTAAATTAAAATGTTTTAAGTTAACAGATTTTATCCGGGAAACTTGGGCCGAATTAATCGACATCTCAACTATAATTATCATTAAGCAAGTGAAAATTGATAATCCACTAACCCCCCCCCCCATGTTAAATGAAATATAATTTATAAACAATCATTTTTTGAAATAATAAGTAATGAAAGGAAAAAAGTGATGTATGTATAAATTCAAATTATCATGAGAAAATGATAGCCGAAAATTTACTAACTATTCCCAAGACTGGATTAAAGAATTTAAAAAAACTTTATAATGCCAAGTGGACAACAATTAGTGCGTAATAGATATTTTTAATTGTTTTTAACGGTGTTTTATATATTCGTATAGGGTTTTAAAAAATTAACTAGGTACAGGGGGTTTATGCAAATTTTCTAAAAACTTATGTTATTTAAAACCCGGATTTCGCCATAACCGCATTCCGCCATCTATAGAGTATCTATCCTGTGAATTTCAGACAATTTTATGAGCCATCAAAATTTCATGGCAGTAAGGTCTGAAATTCACCCATTCATTACTTATTTATCTATTCAAGAATACGCTTTCGATAAAAAACACGCGTTATAAATAAATAAAATTTTAAAGATCTCCTAGAAACTCAGATTTTCTCCTGCCATGCTAATAAAAATTTCCCCATTCCATCTCCCGACCATGGACATTACCCAAAATAGGGGATTTGCACATAAAACACCATGTTATTATTTTTTGAATACAAAAATAATGGGCTACTTTTATTTGCCTAACCAGCATTACACACACCCTACCAATCTATGACTATTATTTTCTAAGAAAAAAGTAATGTTTTTAAAATATATAATTATTATGTTATCATGGTTGGCAATAATGTTAAGCGGCGTGATTTTTAAAAAAAACGACTGACACAATATTTTAACCAAAAAAACATTAAGCAAGCCTGGAGATTTTGCTCAAAGATAGCAGAAAGGTTTAAACATCTAAGTGAACTCGAGGCTTGCGTAATATTTTTTGACCAAAATCTTTACTTAAAATTGCAAATAGAGCTGTTTAAAGTACACTAGTCGGCAAGATCATATTCATTTATAAAAAATGTAATTATGGTAGATTTTGATATTTTAGCTAAGAGCGTTTTTTCTTTTTTTCTATCTTTTTTCCTTTCTTAAATTCCTTGAATTAGACTATTTATAAAACATTAATTTTATTTTTTTTTATAAATCTTATTGTTTTAAAAATTTTTTTAAATGAATTATGATTTATGAATACCATACATAATAATTATTATGAATATGATGTTCCAAAAACAATTAGCAAAATTTGATTTTAGATTTATTTTTAAAATTTTGCCCCCCCCCACCCCAGAAAAACAGCAAAAATAAAAGTGATAAAGATTTTTGAAAGTGGTGATAATAAAAAAGACTGCGGTAATAAGCGCTAAGACTGTATCCTGAGTTCGACTTCATTTTGATACTTAATTGCTGTATAGCCTTGACTAAACAGCTTTTGAACTAGGACATCCTATTTTGATTTCTTTAAAATATTTTTATTTTTCGTATTTATTTTTTTGTATTTTTATTTTGTTGTTTTTTTTTTGTTTTTTTGAAGAAAAAAATTTTCTTTTACTTTCTAGACTCTATTAAACCGGCTGTTTAGATCAGGACACATCCTAGGTATTTTATATTTAGGAATAACCCAATTGGAAATTAATATATAATCCATTTCTTCTAATTATTTAAAATTTTCATACTTTTCATTATATCGATTTGAAATAAATTTTAAAAATTAATTGAATAAGCATAATTTATATAAAGCTGCAAGCGTATAAATAAATATTGTTAATATTTAATTTTTTAAAATAAATCTTTTTATATTGATAATGAGTATTCTTTTTTTTAAAAAATGATTTCATTCGATTAATTAGATTTATTTGTTAAATGGGTTGGTTTCCATGTCCAAAAAATACATGATTTTGAGATGACTCCTTGATTTTTATGAAATTTAGTGTACAAACTGAGGTTAGTGCAACCTATATTTGGGTAACTTTTCAACATTCTAGTTATTATACCGTAAGGGAAATCAGTATTATAAGTTAAAAAATGACCTTCTTTATAAATTTCAGTTTTTATATAATTATACACTATTTAAATTTCTTGTCCTGAACAATATTTAATACAGAAAAATAGGTTAGCTTGAGGACGAGCCTGTGGAATGTGAGATATGCCTTGGACTGGGTTGTACAAATTAATAGCATAAAAATATGGCATAGATTCTTTTATTGATTGATTTCGTTCTATTATCGATCAATAAAAAGTATTTTAAAGAGCTAGATATCTAGCATAGCTCAGCCCAACAACTGGTATAGCCTAAAATAATTAAGAACAGGCAACCCATGCAAAATATTTTACAGAATTTAGGATATAAAATTTAAAGTTAGAAGAATTCAATATATGATATTTTCTTTAAAAAATCGGGCCAATTTAGGCCGTGCCAATATATAAATTTTATAGCTCATTTATTGGAATTTTTTAAAAAAAATATTTTTATAATTCAACTATTAATAATTTTATGGCACAAAGCCAATGTTTTAATATAAATTTATCGTTATGCTCTGCAGTCTCCGATTCTAATACGGCATTAATACTTTTTATTGATTGATATCAAAAAGAAATTAAAACAATAAAAAAACCCACAAGAAAGAAAGATCCGTCACAGCCCGCCCAATAATCCGTAACCCAAATCCGCTCGTTCGCAGACAAGACAGCGAAGTTGTGATAATAATCTTTTACATCAACTATTATTTTTAAAAAAATATAAGGAAACATTATTAATCATTTAAACGAATAAAATAAAATACACCATATATAGTATAAAAATATTGAACATTTCTGTAAAATAATTATTTTTATCGATTTAATTGATGATATTATAGTAAAGGCTCAACTTTTTTTAAAATTCATATAGAATAGTTATTAGTAGCGTTTTTGGAATACTTTATTAAAGCCGGAGTGACCCATTTTTATAGAGTTCTCGGCAAACGATGCCAAAATATTATTAAAAACAATTATTACGTATATGAAAACCGACATTCGTAAAAAGAGGTCATTAACATGCTTCCTACCCTGGTATCTTCAAAAATCCAACAGCTATGAGGCCAAAATTTTACCCAAATATAGGTCACATGAATCTTACATTGTTATAGAAATTTCGTAAAAATAGGGGTAGGCTAAATCGTGGCTTATAATTCATATCAAAATTAATGATGAATAAAAGAATATCTCCTAAATTTATCTTCAATCAGTCCACTGGAAATTGATTCTGAAAAATGTCAACTTTAAAGATTGGCAAAAAAATAAGCTATCGTCAATAAAATTTTATTTAAATATTGTTTTTAGAGATTTCCCCGATATAAATTTAAGATTTACATAATGCCGAGAGAAACAATTTTAGATGTAGATAATATTATTTTCGAAAAAGTTGTATTTAAATATTGTTTTTAGAGATTTGCCGGGTCTAATTTAAGAATGGTATTAGGCGGGCAACAATTTAAGATGTAGATCATATAAAAATAAGCTATTTAGAAAAAGTTAGCAGCGTTTAATATTGTTTATGTAGTTTTTTAGGGTTCTATGGGATCTAAATTTATTCATCAATATCGGACCGGATCCTAATTTTTTTATTAACCCTGCAGAAACGATTACCGGATCTTATAAAAAGAGTTTTAACTTTCTTACATATTTATGTAAAATGTAAATTTAATTCAATAAAAAATATATTTAATTATTTAGTAATAATAACAAGGTAGTGGAACCCGAATTAGGGTTCAGAAAACTAAAACTTTATCTAGCGAAAATTTTTGATAAGAGGCAACTTAACCGAATCCGATTTTTGGAAGAGGTCTGACCCCGCCACTCGGGGTGATGCGTCCCGTAAATCGGTCTGTCTATATATAGTTAGTCTCAAAATGTTCAACAAAATAATTTTAAATTTGTAAACTCTAATATAAGTTCAAACAACTCTGGTTAGTATATTTTCAACAAATATAATTAATAGAGAATATTATTATTCAATATAATAGTATCAGAGTTATTAGAATAATTTTATTTAATAGATATAAATGTAAAATAACAACTAAGATATATATATAAATTGTAACAATTTTAAAAGTAAAAAAATCAAATGGTAAAAATTAAAAACAATTTCTTTCTTTTTATAAACTTTTTTTATTAACTAATTCAAATTT